GATCTTGCAGTTTGTGGATTTGAGTCCCGCATTGGGTTCTCTGCCCCTCCCCCGCTCATGCTTGCTCGCTCTCTCAAAAATAAAGATGAAAAGATAAATAGATGTGCAAACAGATTGAACGGGCAAAATGTAAACAACTGTTGAATCTCCTGAGCATAAGGATCATTGTACCATTCCTGTAATTTAAGGTGAACTAACTCTATGCCTGATGTGGGACTCCAACTCATGACCCTGAGATCAAGACTGACATGTTCCACTGACTCAGCCCGCCAGACACTCCTTAAATATCAAAAGAACAAAGCGTAAGAAGCACCTCGCAGACTGAAGGACGTTATTTCCACAGGTATCGGCTCAGTTCAGAGATGACCTAGCTCTGGCCTTGTTAAAGTTTGAACTAGGAGATTTAGTAGATAAACGTGCACAAGTCACTGTGTCATCGATGAAAAGGGGGATAAATTTTTTATCTTAAGAATAAAGCTAAAACAGTCTATGTAACAGATTTTTTAAAGAAGTAAACTATGCAAGGGGCGGGGGGGGGGCACGTGGGTGGCTCAGTAGGTTGAGCATCTGACTTCAGGTCAATTAACTCACAGTTTGTGAGTTCGAGCCTGCTTCGGGCCCTCTGTTGTCAGCAGACAGGCCACTTCAGATCCTGTCCCCCTCTCTGCACTTGCCCTGCTGGTGCTCTTTCTCAAAAATAAACATCAAAAAACAAAAACAAGTTTTATGTCCAGCATGGGACTTAACTTCACAACCCCAAGATCAAGAGCTTCATGTTCTACCAACTGACCTGACCCGACCAGGGGGCCCTGTATGAACATCTTTAATGGCATCAAAGAAATGTATATATAAACACCTAAATTTTGCTATAGGCCAAGGGATTTTTGAGGGTTAATAAATGAAAGTAGTTTCATACAGCTGTCAAATTTCATCCTAATATGGAATCTCTCCCCACTTCTTCCAAATAAGATACCATGCTGGAAGACTGAGATTTGGACCTGAACCATAAATTCCTCTAAAATGTCTCCTTCAGTAAATAAGATGCTTCAGTATTTTTCAGGATTTTGACAAATAGGGCATACTCTGCAGATTCCACAGTCCTTTTCCCACTGCCACTGGATGATCTAATCCTTTCCACAGCTTTTGGGTCTATGCTAAAATGTAGAACTGTAAAGGTCTCTTCAGTTGGGAGCCTCAGTCACAAGTTTTCCACACTTTTTTGCTTTCTTGGAATGGCCCTGGTCTCCCTACAACAGCTTCAATGGGCCGCCCATACTTTGTGATCCTTCCAAAGGGCACCTGAATTTTATCCGTACCTTTAATGGTCCTGCAGCTACTTACTACCTTCCATAATTAGTCCCATCTTTATTTCAGATTTTTCATGTGCTGCTCCATTTGTCTACATTTCTTTGCTAAACGCCTTAAAACCCTAAGACAGTTCGATGTCTCTATTAGGTGCTCTCATAACACCCAAATGCTTACTCTTTAGCAATGGTTACAGTGATACAAAATTGCTATTTCTTCTCTTATACTGAGCTGTTAAAAAGGGATGGTCTTGGGGCACCGGGGTAGCTCAGTCGTAGCTCAGTCGGTTAAGCGTCTGACTTCGGTTCAGGTCATGTTCTCACTGTCCAGAGTTTGAGCCCCACATCAGGCTCCACACGGACAACTTGGAGCCTGGAGCGTGTTTCAGATTCTGTGTCTCCCCCTGTCTCTGCCCCTCCCCTGCTTGCCCGGTCTCTCTCTCCCTAAAATAAATAAACATTTAAAACAAGGCTGGGGGGGGGGGGATGGTCTTGGTCACTTCTGAATTCCCTGTAGCTTGCATAGTCCCGGACAGTCTAAAATCGACTTGGAATGTGCGCTACAATGCCAAACCCTTCTGTATCCAAATATTCACCTATAAAAACAAACATGGCTGGAGTGACAAATGGCCAAGTAGAATAAGAAATCCTGAATTTAAACACAAGATGAGTCACTACAACCCCTACATGTCCTGCTTGGCCTCCTCACTATGAAGGACACTGATCTAATCTACTGGCCACTTCAACACTCTCTCCACCTCCACTTTACTGTTCTTCCCATTTAGGGAGTTATTTAGGGAGTCAAGTTCTTTAGAGAGTCAGGTGCTGTGGCTCAGGTCTACGGTGGTACGGACACCAATGAACTCAACACTGCCCCAGCACTTCAAATCGCCATTACAAACATTTCTTCGCGATTTTGATCCAGACGGGTGTACACAGTAGCCAATGGTAGCAGTTCCCCAAAAACACTTCTTTAAGGGATCTGATCTGGTACAGGCAGAGGCAGAATGAACCAAGTCACCGTGCCAGGCTGACAAATAGCAGAGACCAAACAACAGAATGAAGTGTGAAGTCCCAGGAGGGCTCTCCCAACTCACAAGGAGGAGGAGAATCTTCCTTCTCATTGTGGACTTCTAGTCACCGTGGGTCCACAGCCTCAAGCAACAGACACAATGCCATCTGACCAACAACGTGACCGCGGCCGTGGACGGCTAGTCTGACAGCTCTCCTATTGTTCAACATTTTCACTACTTTTGCATTATGTCCTCATAACGGGTCTAAGTCATTTCAGAAATCAAGTCATTTTACTTCAACAAGGTACTGTTTGATGATTCAAAGACCGATGAGATCAACTTACTCTTGATTCATCACCATCTCTGGCCATTTTAAAAGATGAGAAGAGCACGAAAACAACCCTGTCAAGGTACAGCCTCACAAGGTCTCACTTTAAAGGGGACGGCAGATCTGAGATAAATTTTTGTTCATGACGCTTTGCTATATACCTCGTAGAGAGCCACTCACATTTTGATCACATGCTTGTCCGTTGAAAAACTAACAAGAAAACGTAAAACATGGCTACATATCCATCTGGCTCAAGAAGAGCCCTGGTCAGACCACTGAATTTTCGGAAGCTGAGATGAAGAAAGTCCAGGGGCACCCTTCTTAGAAGTCCTACAGTTCATTCTACTCAAGTCAGAAGAACCCATTCTCTGTATTTCAGCAAATGGTAGGGAGAACTAGCTTACTGGCTTGGTTTCTAAAATCTTGATTGCTATGTTTATTATAATGGAATTCAGTTTACAGCCATTACAGTATTCTCCGCTTGAAACATTTTAATAGCACTGCAAGCACTAATAGAAATAGGAAAATCTCTTGCTATTTGTTGATGGAAAATAATAGAAAACGCAAACCTCCCAAATTCCATTTGTAGGCCATAGGAGCATGAGCACAACCGTATGGGAGGAGATAACCAGTCTCTCCCTTCATATATATTCTTTTTTATTTTCTTGTTATACCTTCCCAAAACAGACATTCAACAGTAGTTAGAATGGCCATCTCCCGACATTTAAAAAAAAACTGCACCCCCCAATGGGTGAACAAAGTAGAGTAGTAACCTAGAGTTCAGCTGAGTAAGCCACTGCGGAGCCTTAAGTGGTGAGGTCTTCCAATTTCAGAGTGATGTGTCTTCAACTTGTATCATCATTTTAGTGGAAAAACATAATTTAATTTTGGTGAAATGAGATTCATCTCCCGACAGGATTAGGAACAGCATTCACTGAATTTCACATTCTTCTTTTGTGAACTGTGAAGAAAATGAATGGTAGCTAGAAGATCAATGGGATTCCAGCTCCAGCTGCAGATGGAATGAAGATATACCAGGACAGAAACACCTATATTTTGATTTACAAAGCTAACAGCAGTTTGAAATCTGCAACTTAATTACAGACCAACTACACCACAACCTTTTCAAATGGCAAAAATACAAAAAAGTTAAGTGTTACAAAAATATTTCAGAAAAAGTGCATAGTCTAAGTGCATAGTAAATAAAAGCACTGAAAAATATCTTGCTAGAGGGAGTTCAGCTCGGAAAAGTTATTACCAAAGCTAAACATTTTTATTTTACACAAACTATACTCAAAAATAGCTTTATGAGACTGATTTCTGGCTAAAAGTATCAAAGGGTTTATTAGTCAAGAAACAAATACCTTAACTCACATGGGTGGATAGAAAAGAAACAAGTAAGCTGCCTACCCCAAAAGTTCGCACTCATTAAGATTTCTGCAGTGGGAGGGTGCTAATATATTCTGTAATAGCAGAATGTGGTGATCATGGAATTAATTATTGCTAAAGTAGATTTAAAAAAGAAAGAGAAAAAAAATAAAACAAATTAAACCTGACACAATCTGAACAAACCTGTCAATTTACAGTTTCAAGGTTATTTTACAAAATACCTACATTTACAACAGGCTCCTGGCAGCATTTTCAGACAAAGGTTCTTTTAATTAATCCTGACATGCTATAAATGAATAAATTACGCTATTTAAAGAATTACTGTCAATAAATTTTTCTTTCTATTGGGTCAGAAAGAGGAAAGAGAAGAGCGCATTTAAGATTAAGAGGAAGCGCACAGAGAACTTAGGGGAAAGAATGGGGGCTTAGGGAGGGTCAGGAATCATAGGAACCTCACCTGGCCACCTGGCGGGATGCTCTCCAAAGTTAAGAATCAATCTGCTCAAAGCCAAATTAACCAGGAATTTAAAGAAAAGCTACAAAATGGTAGTTAAACCCTTTAACGCTTTCATTCTTATGCACAATCAGTCCAGCGGTTAGTGCGAGGCCGCAGGAGTTAGAACACGGAGTCCCGGCTGCCGCGGCACTAGGTACTGTGCCTGTAAGTCATTATAAAAGGAAAAATAAAGAATGCCTTTCCCCTTCAGACCAAAAAAAAAAAAAAAAAAAAAAAAAAAAAAATTTTTTTTTTTTTTTAAATAAAAAAATCTGAGGAAAAGTTATAACACTAAATCTAAAATGATTCGCAAAGGAACTGTATGTAACAAATGGCTTGAAGTAGTCTATTAAAAAATTGGGGAGATTTTGATTTCATAGTGAGTCAGCAAGGCATTTTTGTTGTTTAAAAAAAATCTCATTTCCTTACAGAAACAGTTTTTAGTTTTTAATGAACTTGTAAACAAAAAAGCTCCCATTTCAAAATAAAAACAAAATCCCAGATCATATAGATGTTTACAGTGATTACATTTATCTAAGCAACATACATACATGTTCAGTTGTAAGATGTTAACTAAATTTCTGTGACAAATATGCTTTTTTTTTTTTTTTTAATACCAAGAACATTATAGAGTTAATGCAGAGTCCTAAGGATAATCTAGTAGTCACTAAGTTTTTCTTAAGTCTTCACTTTAGATGCTGTTATTTCTAGCACAGGTAAGCAGGCAGTCTTCCGAATGCTCAAACACTGGAATCTTTGGTTGCTACCGTATCAAGCTGGCTTGCAAACAAGAAGCCAACCATTTTAAGAATGTTTTAAGTGAACAACTTGCAAACCCCAGGGGTGGATAAACCCTAAGAACGCACAATTGTGAGCATTTACAACCATCACAACTGTGGCTGAAGACTGTTCATGCCGTTCTTCTGAAATGAGATCTCAAAGCAGTATAGTTCAAAATAAAAGATTTTAACAAAAATTGGCATATGCACAATTTCTCCATCAATTTGTGTGTGTCAACCATTTAGAGTTAACTTTTCCACTTGAAAAAATGCAATAGAAAACTGGACACCATGTTTCACTATCTCAGTTAATATTCACAATTACAGCGGCTACAACTCAGGACACGGCATCACCAATGCTGCCCAGAGCCAGTTTATACTGAAATTAAGTTCTTTACACCAAGTAAATGGTTGTTCACAACCACTGTCTAGTGTACATATGAACTAAAATTCCTAGATTTGGGGAGAAACAAATGCTGCTCCGATCATCTGCTCTGCTTCTTCTGTTCCTTGATTCATGCTTAGAAACCTGTTTAAAAAAAAAAAAAAATCGAAACAAAAAAAGAATGTTACAATTCCAAGTTATAAAAGATTTTTAAAAACCACACCCAAAACTGGGAAATTGGGTGGAACTGGGCCAATAATTACTTTATTAGAATGGTGACTCAGAATATTTTCATCTATTTGAAAATCACAGCTCATCTTAAAACTACATACAAAAACTTTTCTGTTCTAGGTGCCTTTACGTAGGAGCGGTACACAGTGAATCAAAGCCTTCCCAGTCAGCATACACTTTTCAGGCCCGAGAATTACTGGGAATTCCAATGAGCCTGTTTTATTTATTTCTAGACTTCTAGTACCTAGAGCATAGAATGTGTTCAAATATTTATCAAACGAATGAAAAGTAAGATGGTTTTGCCTTAAAAATTACAAACTATAGTCTTAATCATACTATATGCAGGAACTTTTCTGCACATTATTTCTGATCCAAATAAGGAGCAATAAGCTTTAATAATAAATGTATTCAAGACATAATTGAGTTATTCCATAGAACACAAACCTGGTCAGTATGATTTTTATCACAGAAACCTTAAACCTTTAAAAACGCTGTACTTCCACCAATAATACATTTAAAAAGTTTTGCCCTGGATTTGAAAACCTAAACAAGTGAGGCTTTTTTGTTTTGGCTTTATTTACTTTGCAAGCCTTCCCACCCTGTAAACACTACCTCCCTCTGCCACAATTAGACTCTTAAGACTTCCACACATAGGCAGGTTTGAATAGAAACCAGCCTCGGGTAGTAACAGCTGCATGTTCCATCTGTGGCAAAAGACCACTAGAGCAAATGCTTATCTCTATTACCTACAAGCTTTATCTGTGGCTCAAGGCAGAAAGGAAGTATGCCCATTCCTCAGCCAAAACACGAAAACCCCATCAGTACCACCTCTTCTCACCAAAAGCCTTCCCTTGAGGTGACCATGCCCCTTGGTTCACCCCCTTCCAAACCCCTATAGCTGGCCTCATTATAGCTCTTTCTAGCCCACTCTGATCTCTCACTTCTAAATTCAGCATGGAAACCATGTTTTTATTCATCATAAACTTCTCCCTCCTTTGTAATTCTCAAACATTCGCTGGACCATTTCCAATGGGCTCTGTGGGACAAATAATATGCTTCTAAAATCTATGCCTCCCCACACACCCCTCCCCCGCCCCCCGGAAAGATAATACCAAACATTTATATATCATTTTTGGGGAAATATGGGCTCACTTGTTAATTAGGAATTTGTTCATTTGAGGGCTGAAAGTCCTCTTAATTCGTTTAAAAACATATTGTGCTAACACTCTGAGGACAGTGCTGTACACATTCTTTCGCTCTCTACGCCGACTAACAGAGTAGACACAAAATAAACCTCTGTTAAAAAAAATAAATAAAATAAACCTCTGTTGCCTGCCCAAGTACTAAATTCATAAAGTAAATGCCAAAATGAAAAATTTTATGAAGATTTCTGAAAATGAACTTCATCACAAGGAATATTCTATTTGGTATATATTACTAAAGAGAATTAGCAAAGTAAGCACAAAAAGAAAAGGCTGTCAGATCAAACCTGAATTAAAACCCTTAAAATTAAGACCATATTCTGTAACGTAATTCCAATGTTAAAATACAGAATACTGTGAAGCAAATTAAAACTATGAATTAGCTAATTAGAGGTGACCCTTACCCTGATGAGCATTTGATTTCAAGTCCTGCAATTATTCTTAAATATGATAAAGAAAAATGTTTACACAGCTACTGAAACTGTTTACCACACCTTGCTATGTGATTACGTTATACTGAATAATCTAATTACTACGTTGAATATCCAAACAGCTTTAAAATAGAAACCGCTATCACTAACTAAAAACAAAACGTAAGTTACAATGTCAAAATATTAGAACACTCTTGTGTCTTTAATAGGGATAAAAATTAGATCTAGGTAAGAATTGTATCTGTTCATCTGATATTTGAGAAATTACTGGGTCAGTTAATGATTACAATTGCTTAGGAATCAGACAGAGGCTAGCCTAAAAATATTCCTGGAGGAATAGAGCAGTCAGATCCAGATGTAACTCTTCAGATTGGCCAATGGTAGGATACTCCACCCAGGGATCAATGTTTCTCCAGAGAATTGTCCTAAGATGTTACTCAAGTTTATGTAGGAAAAATCTCAATGGGAGCATTCAGCAAGTATTCAACATTCAATCTTCAAGTACATTCCTTTTTCCAGTGTGCATTGATTCCTTGGTTTTTATCTTGTAATTTAGGTGGTGTCTCCTGGCTTCTAAAAGTCCAAACACCCATCTTCACTGCAACAACAGTTAAAATAAGGAAGGGATCCCTTTGCTCCTAAAAACAAAAAAAAAACAAAAAAACAAAACAAAAAAAAGGGAGCAAAAAGCAAAGTCAAAATTGAGTTGGACCATCACTGTAACTACTGAGTTAATAGCTACATTTAAGTTTCTTTTCAAATCTGCAAAAGGAAAAAAATGCTTATGTAACTAGTGAGATTCTACCCCTTAATCCAAAATCTGAAAAGTATACATTGGCTCTTATTTATGAATGCATTTCTGATGTCCCTGAT